TAATTTAATTTTTTCCCATGTAATAACATTCCACATTCTTGCCAAGGTCAACAGGTACAACTGCCGTATTTGGGGGACTGAAAAGCCGCGGAGATCCGTTGAACATGAAAGAGATACTCCTAAAGTTAATGTCTGGTGATGCTTTGGGAAAAAATCGAATCATAGCGCCATCCTTTTTTTTTTTTTTTTTTGAAGGGCATGTTTTTAAAGGTGATATCTATTTGAAAATATGGGAAGATTATTCTATTCCTAATCTTAGTCGACTAGAACCGATAGAGAATACAGTGTTTCAACAAGATGGTGCACCTTGTCACTTTGTTCTGCAAGTTAGGCAGTATCTAAATAAAAAGTTCCGTAACAAGTGGATTGGAAGAGTCGGGCCATTATCTTGCCCTCTCCAGGATCACCAGAATTCACTTCATTTAATTTACAAGGAAATGAGAAAACTAAGATTTATTCAACTAAACCTGGATCTTTAGAGGATCTGAAAGCAAGGATAATTGAAGCTATTGTTGAAAATCAGCTGCAAAATATTTTCGGAGAACTACACAATCTTATTACCCCTTGTAGTCGTCATGCTAATGGACATGTTAAAAATGAACAGCCCCAATAATAAATATAAATACTGTATGTCTCTTACCCTTTTCACAGCTGTTTTCCATTATATATAGTTAAAAGGTACAAGCATTTTAAATTGCACAAATATACATTTATTTTATATAATATATATTTATATAAATAATTCTATATATTTGTGCCACTACCACACAAAAAAGAGAATATTTAACATCGAAAAACGTAAGGAAAATTAATTAATAAGATGTGTAAATATCCACTCTTTGCCTGAAGAAGGTCCCGTGTTGCAAAATTATCGAAAATAAAGCATAATATATATTGTAAAAATCTACATTACAGCCAAAAACGTTTGCGGTTTCTCTCTCCTTTTAATATATACACTTTTCTCTCGTTGGAAGAACTATAATCTCTTCTCTCTCTCTCTCTCTCTCTCTATATATATATATATATATATATATATATATATATATATATATATATAGGGTTTTGTTTGTTTGGTTGGTTGGTTTCTTTGTTTTACGGAATATCAACCTCAATGGGTTATTTGATGCCGACAAAATTTTTATAGTTGGTAATATTTTTTTTTCAAAAATCTATTTCTGGTAACATTTTGCTTTCAGATATATATCGTTGGTATTTTTTTTTTCTAAAATGTATTGCTGGCAATAATATTTTACAAAGTATTTCTGGTATTAAAACTTATTTTTACACTTTCATAGTGTTTTGACAACAGTTTGGCGTTAACTATTTGCCCGTAGCTGGGATACTATGCGTCAGGGTGGACCTGGGAACACCAGTAATTAAGAGGTGGTTCCATGCTCCTCAAAACCTCCTGCTCAGAGGCCTTGCTGTTGGACGTAATTTATCGTCTTACCCAAGACGCGGATAAAGTTTATTGTCATACCCAGGACTGTATAAGATTTTTTGCGTGTGAAACAATTGATGGGCAGTGTGCAAAAGACCCCATTCACGACCACACGCAGAATGCTAACACACTAATAAACTACACAAGGCGACGCAGTTCACTGTAAGAACTAAATTTTATCAAATCTCGACAGTCAGAATTTTGACATTTAACAAAAGCCCGAGGTGAAGGACAGACAGCTTTATGCTATTGTGGTTTGGGAACTTTTGCAATAAAATTTTTTTTGTCACTATGTAGCATTTATGAGGATAAAATACGCGTATTTTTCCTGTGGTGTTTATAAATTTTCACACGGTTCAATTATTAAGGTTAACAAAGGACTATTTTAAATTACAAAATTGTACATTGATGAAACGAAAATTACTTATACTATAATACATATTACTTAAAATATAAACATTCTTGTCGTCAATTTTTACGTCATAGGTACACTAGTATATATTATAATGTACTTATATTTAATATAAGTTTATTATAAAATATATTTATAAACATATTGTAAAAGTATATATATATATATATATATATATATATATATATATATATTTTAAAAATATATATATATATATATATATATATATATATATATATATAACATCAGCGATGAACACCACAATATGCTGACCAGGTTTAGAAAATAATAATAAATAAAATAAACATTGCTATCACTCTAGATTCCGTTACAAATTAAAATACAAATAGCATCCTTGAAAATGGCTAATATATATATATATATATATATATATATATATATATATATATATATATATATATATATGTGTGTGTGTGTGTGTGTGTGTGTGCGTGTGTTTATATATATATATATATATATATAAGATTGTGTATTCGGACGGCAATACGTCTTTATTCAAATTTGATTAATAGGGAATGGCAAGGTAAAAAAGTTAGGGTGTTTCAATAATTTTACTTGTATCAGGTTTTATTTCTTGTCTGAGTATAAAGTGTCTAAAAGCAGTTCAAATTTTAAATATATTCTAGTTCTTTCGGCTATTCTTTTAGGCATTTTCAAGGATGCTATTTCTATTTTAATTTGTACCGGAATTATTGTTCATTGGGATGTTTAGTAGTAAACATAATTTTGGTTGTAAACATGTAACATATATGAGGGTAACATACGGATATCTTTCCTTAGGTGTTTATAAATTGTTAACTGTTCAATTATTAACGTTAACAAGTATTTTAAATCACAAAATTGTACTTGGATTAAATGAAAATTACTTACAATATAATACATATTACTTATTATACATTTCTTCTTGTCGTCAATGTTGGCGTTACAGGTACACTAGTATATATTATAATGTACTTATATTATATTTAATATAAGTTTATTATAAAATATATTTATAAATATAATTTAAAATCTTTAGGATATATTAATATAAGTGTATATATATCTGTAATTAAACTGAAGAGACAAGCATCGTATCGGCAGTCTGTGCAATAAATCATCGGCAAAAGTTTTCTCGTGGGGAGTAATCCGATGGAGAAAGAAACTGCACACGTTGCAAATGATACGGTTACAGAAGCTGCACTTGAAGTACCCTCCATGCTGTACTATGAGATAAACAACATGATTGGGCCACTTGACGTGTGCTGATACATGAATCGTCTACGACAGACTGTAGAATGTGTTCGCTCTTCATCATAGTTTGTGGTGCCAAGGTTCCTGTCTCGGCAACGCAACGATAAACAGCAGCTAAGATTGGATGACTCTGCTACCATCGGTCTTGAAACACAATCTGATACAGCCGTGCAGCGTCGCATACATTACCATTCACGCAGCGTAACGTAAAAATCATATCTGCCGGATAACGATATAAATATCCCGCCATTGTTAAACGCAACACTTTTCAGTTAACTCACAACTACACAGGGTAAGCGTTGAAGACAGACTAACCACAAATATACACGAATGAAAAAATGTAACCTAGTCTACATAGCAACATAGCACCTTCTACCGTAAACTTTCTTTAAACTCAAAAACGAAGGAATTGAGGACATATATATATATATATATATATATATATATATATATATATATATATATATATATATATATATATATGATCCGTCTTATATGTCTATATGAATTCCTATGCCTACACTGTCTACCTTTACAAAAATTCTATATCCCATACTGAACATTCTTTTCCTAAACATTTAGCAAGTTTTAAACCATATATATATATATGATTAATACAAATATAAAATTTGTCACTCAGCTGATTGATGTTATATTCAGCTCGACGATTCCAGAGTATCGTAGACGACACTTTTAAATAATTGTTTGTTCATTCGGTTTGTATATATATATATATATATATATATATATATATATATATATATATATATATAATAAACCCCTCTAAACTCGACCATGTCTCTCTAACCACTCTTTATTACCCTCTCTGTTATATTACAAAAACTTACACTACCCATCAATTTTTATTTCATTTTTTGTAAGTGCTATCTGATGATCCGGCGTCCTTTAAAGGGGCTCTGGTGAAATAAATTATTATAATGGAACCTTAGAGTGGTCGGTTTTTCTTTAATATATATATATATATATATATATATATATATATGACCATTCCAGTTAAGTAATTGCAAACCATTTTACGCTAGGCATGTAGACATGAAGAATGAATCTCTAGTAGATCGGCATAGAATTGTAATGGAAATCTGGTGACAATCATCATGTTCATCTTCATCGTCACCATTGCTATGACCGGGTGTAGTCGTCCGATCTCTGCGAGAGTTGACCACCTGATCAGTTCCCTGCACATATCTGGGTTGAAAGCCGGACAGGTAATCATTCATGCAAAAGAGAAAATGGATGACATGAAATTCTACGTCCTCGAGAAGTATCCTGAATTATTCATATCCAACCGTGCCTCAAATATATATATATATATAAGAGAGGTATGAGGAGATTGCAAGACGAGGAGAGATAATTGAGAGCATATTGTAAGGACATTGGAATAGTGATACTTGTCGAGACAACATAGTTCACTCTAACCAAATCTGATAGTCATTACGAATACTTCTACTTCTTTGCATTATATTTCTGTTGTAATACATCTTAATATTCCATACCTGTGTTCGTGTTATTCTTTCATTGGTTCTAACCTTGGACCATCACCGTGGTACAAGGAACTTGTACCATAACAATATATATATATATATATATATATATATATATATATATATATATGACGTCATGCTTCCTAAGAAAGGTATTGCCTCAAATAAATAAGGAAGAGTTGTAAAAAAAGAGATAATCTAAAATGATTTGCAATGAGTTGTACGATATAACCGCAGAAGAAAAATGTTATTGTGAAATTATTCACTAAAATGATAGTGCTGAAAATTGCAAATATCTTGATTCGTGGTCAGAACACACTATAAATCAAGCACAAAAAATGTCATAAAAGAACTAATAACTAAATAAATGTCCTTTAGAAAAGTTATAATTATGCAAAACGTTATTAAAGTCGCCATGACGAAGTGAGTATTACGACAGCTGATTGAAAATTGTAAACGACTCTTTTGAAAGAAAATTTTGAAACACTTCTATTTTGATGTTAAATGTTATGATGATAAATTGTGAGACAAATACAGAATAAGAAATAAAATCAGAGCTCCCCGAGTTTCCGGTAATCTTCAGCGAACTCTTTATATTCACGTTAGAATATTTTTGTCTCTTATCTGCACAGAGAGTTACCATCTCTTGTAGCGATATATGATTTTGCTCATTAAACCTTGGGAGTGAATGGAAGAATGTCCATTTTATTTGGGCGTGGCTGCTCAAAGCACATGGAAACGACAGTCTTATCTATCCCCAATTAGCCTCGGATCAATATATTTCCATTTAGGACGAGTGGACACTGGGAGATGTGAGTGAGAAGAATTTTTCTAATTATGCTGGCAAGTGAGAAGAATTCAAGCTCTATAATAAAAAGAACTGCATTTCCAGGTAACAACAGACCATAATGGTCATTGCTACAAGGAATGAACCCAGAACTGACTCTCTTCGCTTTCTCCATTTTACCAAAGAAAACAAGCAATTTTTCCTATTTACAGTATTCGTACTATTGTCCTCATCTCTGTCGCCATATTTATTACAAAATTACGCTCCGACCTTCTTCAGGTGGTTGGAATGTCGAATTGAACCCTTTATTTCGCTCACTGGGGTAGACTGTTCTAGTTCCACGTGCCATGTTTAATGGATGTCAGTTATCAGTTATCTCCTGTTAATTCCTCTCTCGAAGTTCTCCACTGCCTTAACCAGGTATTGTCTTCAAAGACACATGGCACAGTGGATAAAGGCGTTTGTTAAATCCAGTGATATGACCCAAAGAGAGTGAACGTGACACGTGGCACGTGGAACTAGAACAGTCTACCCCAGTGAGCGAAATAAAGGGTTCAGTTCGACATTCCAAAATCCTGAAGAAGGCCAGAGCGTACAACGGCCGAAACGTTGTGATAAATATGGCAACAAAGATGATGACAATAGTCCGAATAATGTAAATAGTGTACATAATACCTCATCTCAGAAATATAGACAGATACTGAAAGGCCGAAACGTTGTAATAAATATAGCAACAAAGATGAGGACAATAGTCCGAATAATGTAAATAGTGTACATAATACCTCATCTCAGAAATATAGACAGATACTGAAAGGACGAAACCTTGTAATAAATATGGTGACAAAGATGAGGACAATAGTCCGAATAATGTAAATAGCGTACATAATACCTCATCTCAGAAATATAGACAGATACTGAAAGGCCGAAACGTTGTAATAAATATAGCAACAAAGATGAGGACAATAGTCCGAATAATGTAAATAGTGTACATAATACCTCATCTCAGAAATAGAGACAGATACTGAAGCAGTCGTTCTGTCTCGATTTTGAAGCAGATGAGTAAAGCAAAATGATTTTTTCCACTGTTTATTGTTGTTCGTGTTGTTTTTGACAAATGGGTCACTTTTCAATCACCTCACTTGATCTGCATTCGGTCACAAAGAAGAGACATCGAAAACCCAACCAGATGTTGGGGAAGGCGTAACGCTTCACAATGAAGAACACAATGAAGTAATTTAGTCAATATATAATGTCTTAGAAAGTGAATAAGTATCACTATTCGTGATTTTAGAATCATTGACAGAGATTAATAAATACATCTTAGTAGAGGCTAAATAAGTATGAATTTATTTTGGTAATGAATTGTGGTTAAAACGTCTAAGTAGATTGTTCATTAGGCGTGTGGGTGAAAACAAGATAATCTTGAAAGCAAGAGGACGTCGTTAAAAGTCACACTTGTGAATATGTCTGGCCAAATTATGACGCATGCGCTAAAATAGGTCATTGCTTGACCCGTCACATATCTGGAATTTTCGATAAACAGTTTACAACTGACGATCTGCGTTACAATATACAAGAGGGCTAGAATAAAATATAACAAAAATAGAAAAGATTTTGTAGTTAGGGCGATGTGATAAATCGAAAAAGAAAATCAGGACACAATATAAGGTTAAATGGTTTTCTTTCCGTTCCCGCCAGAGGTCTGTCGAGGGCAAAAAGCAAACGAAGCTACATAGCGAATGAAACAGAAACATACGAAAATACAGGATGTTTATATATATATATATATATATATATATATATATATATATATATATATATATATGTGTTTACAATCTCACTCGCTCATTACCCCCAATGATAAGAATAGAACGGCTTAATGCTTTAACACCGACCTAAAGTTTAAATCTAAGTTCATTTTCATAAGAAGTTATGCACAGTGAGGAATCAGAGAGAGAGAGAGAGAGATCGGTTTTTTTGTTAATAATACGATCTCCACCAGAATTCACGCCGTCCACAAGAACATCTGTCGGTGAGCAATCCCCATTTCTCTGTTTACTTCTTGCGCCGTGATGAAGGACACAGGCTTGCTCGAAAATTCCGGATTTAAAACCATAATTTCCGTGCTTCATTTCTGTCATGTGGTTAATAATTAATAATTAATAAATGTTTTTTTTTTGTACTGATTTCATTGGTACCCTTTTGTTTGCCCTTGATTTATTACCCAATCTATCTATTTTACATATCTATCTATCTATCTATCTATCTATATATATATATATATATATATATATATATATATATATATGTTGCGTATTTGGGGAGTAATCCTTTTTTATACATTTTTCGTTAAAGACGACAGACAAGTATACTGTGTTTTGCTTTTTATTTAATTTTTCTTGTGTTTCAACTGTTCTCTTTTCTGGACACAAAGTGTGTAAAAATTGTCCAAAATTTCTGCATATCCGAGCGGTTTCGGCTATTCATTTCGCCGTTAATAAAGGCGATTTTTACTTTTTTAATTTAAAACTGAATGTTGGGGTGTTTCATGAATGTGTCTGAAGTTATGGGAAAGTTTTATTTTTCAAAAGCGGTCCTCACATTGTGGCCGTGTTAATGTCATTGAGTATTGCCTTCTCCTTTTTTATTATTAAGGCTTTCATTATTTTTAATATTTTATACGTGGATGAAGCTATTATACTTTTGTTTTCTACGAGTATGTTTCATATGAGCTTGGTAGGTTTTTGTGTCTGTTTAAATGAGTCCTAACTGAGAGATGTAAAGTGAATCTTCGTGATAGGCATGTGGTGGTAATATAATTTTTCATGAATTTGTTTTGATCAGGAACGCAGTTCATTAAAGTACATGTAAATATATAAAGGATAATGGTTCTCTATAATCTGGATATATATTTAAATAATGTTAGTTGTTTAGACCCAACTATAGTGAAGCCGGTAAGCACGAATGCTCAATACAAAGTAGAGCCTATAAAAGGTAAGACAAATGCAGAATAAGAAATAAAAACCAGAGCTAATCGAGTTTCACCCTCGAAGTGAAGGATCATCAGGCAAGATCATTTTTATCTTCATGCTATAGGCCTTAAATATGAAGACCTCGCTTTTTACCGGAATTGGATCTCATCCAAATTCCATCTTTCTTTCTATGTGCTGTATCCTTTCAGGACGTAGGCGATCATGGCTCTCCACTCCTCTCTTTCTCTTGCGGTCTCAACAAGTTCCTTCCTTCCGCCACCTCCACAGATCGCGTTTCGTCATCCACTTGCTTAAGCCCGCCAGGTATGACACGCTTTGTTTTCCCTTGTCTCTCTTTCCCTCTATTCGACCCGTGAGTATCAGATTCTCCAGGCCCTTCTTCTTCATGATGTGTCCCAGAAACTTCAGCTTCCTCTTTCTGATGTTAAGTATAAGCCTCTTTCTTGTTTACATCCTCTCTAAGACCTCATCGTTGCTCACATCTTCGCTCCATGATATCCTTAGCATCTTTCTGTAGAACCACATCTCCGTCGTCTCGAATCTCTTCATCTTTGTAGAAATCGTCCAACATTCGCTGACGTAAAGAAGGGCAGATGTCATGCAACAGGTCAGTATTCTTTTCTTTGTTACCAAAGAAATCCACCCGTCTCGCAATACTCTGCCCAAATTTTGGAAGGCGTCCTTAGTCATGCCAGTATGTGTACGGATCTATGTCGTATTTACCGTCCTCAGTCAGAACGCTTCCCAGATATTTAAACTGCCGAGTCTGCTTGATTCTAGTTTTCCCGACCTTCAAACCTCATTTCGGGGTCATCCTTTTACTGACGACCATGCATTCCCTTTTCTAGTAGTTTGTGCTTAGTCCGTTCTTCACACTCTCCGTCGCTACATTCCGTAGGAGATATTGTCATTTCTTTTCCGTGTCTGCTATCAGTACTATGTCCTCTGCGTATCTAATGCTGTTAAGATTATGGCCGGCAATGTTAAATCCTGGTAGGTTTTTCAATTCTCTCAGAATTGCCTCGCTGTATAGGTTGAATAGGTCCGCCCCTTTCTATTTTTGTATATTCACAGAACTCGTTCGGATATTCAGTACTTTTTGTCATTATGTTACGATTATGGTGTAATGTATATCGTCTTGAGTCGAGTTCGAATTCCAGTCAAGTTCGTTATATTCACGTATCTTTAGGAAAGATATGAATCTATCTCTTCTAGCCTGACGCAGTATGGTCGTTAGTCTTGATTGGTAACCAGACTACCGCAGAAAGAAATGGCAACCTACTGCCAAGTCAGTCGTCTATTGAAAGAGACAAGATCGTATTATGTATGGCTGTACAACAGGCTTGGAATAGCGTATAAGGAAAATAGCAAAAACTTTATTGTTCATGTGAGGTAAGAGTCGAAAAAAAAACCTTCCTACCAAAAACTCCGGTTCTCTTTCTTCTCTCGTCAGCGGTGTCTAAAAAAACGAAGGTCTGCAGGGAATAAGATAAAAATATACATTAAAATTCAAAGGATGGAGGAGACTCCTGATAATTTTTTTTTTAAATTGGCCGAAAAAGTAGATGCTTTGCACTTTAGATAAAAGAAAATTATTTATCCATAATTAAA